AAGATATAATCCAACTTCAAATATACCCAATGAGCTAACACCAATATCTTTATAGCTTCTGTCTTTTTCCCAATGAAAAAATATATGAGTATTTACATATGAGTATTAGCATAATAACTAATGCAATTGGTATCTTGGAAATGAAAAATAAAACCTGTACAATGTTGGGAAAATTGATCACTTGCCTTGGATTTAACAAACTGCATTTAAAAATGCAATCCTTTGTAATAAATAATGACCATTCAAGAAATATCCAGAGTCAGGAATACAGTTACATAAATCAGAGAGGAAAAAATCCCTATAGTGTTATTGTTTAAGTATACTCATCGAATAAAGCATCAATTTCATAAACAAAATTAACTCAATTTACTGGCTTTGTGGTCTCTTTTCCTGTACATTTTCTAATGCTTTTGTTTCAGATTCTTCATTTTATATGTCTTTATATTAAGGTTAGGCCATTTTATTAAGCAATTACTAATACCCCTCTTACTGTGGCTATTGTACATTTTCTAATGCTTTTGTTTCAGATTCTTCATTTTATATGTCTTTATATTAAGGTTAGGCCATTTTATTAAGCAATTACTAATACCCCTCTTACTGTGGCTATTGTTACAGGGTAGAAAAAAGTCCAGTTTCGAATGAACAGCTTGCTTTTATAATCTCACACAGGCCTTTCTAGTACTGAATGCAGCTCCTAAATCATTATTGTATCTACCTTTTCACTATCCACATTGTTATATGAACAATAAGAATCTGAGCATTTGTTTCTTTATATCTCCAAAAGCTATTCTTTTTTGCTTTTTTATTCAGTGTCTGTGATTTTTACAAGAAATATTTCTAATCTGCTACAATATAATGGCTGGGATAAGAGTGAATTTGTAGTTATCAGGACATTTGGAACTGGGACTGGATTACAAAATAATTATATGCACAACAAAGATACAAAAATTAAACTCTTATTAATTGGAATAAAGCACCATGCGTCGTGATGTTTATTTTTAAGATGTATTTATTCAAGGGATTCAAAAGGAATTCAGACCAAAAGAAAAACCAAACATGACAGTCCATAGCCACGTGGGAAAACTCATAGGCAGCACATCACCATTTAACAGCTTCATTTGTAGGACACAGCCTTTCTAGGTTTGAGTTCATGTCCGGCCATCTATTGGCCAAATGATCGTAGGCAAACCACCCTACCTTTCCCAGGCATGTTTTATCGGCTCTAAACTAGGGCTATAGTAATTCCTACTTTATTTCTCTTACCAAATGAACTAACTTATGCAAGTCTTGTAAATGTTTGGATATACTTTTCTTTGTATTTTAGAAAGAAATTATCTGATAGGGCAAAGAAAGCCAAGGTAAATAACTAGAAGATGGGGTTTTTTGTGTTAAAGGGGAATAATTAAATTATAGATGATAGATTAAAATGGCAATAAAACTGGCTAGCTAAAATTTGTTTTTTTAACTAAGGAAAATGTTTATGATTTGGTGGTCAGAAAGAGAAAAATAAAGGGGGAAAGTGATAGATAATTCCATTGTTAGCAGGGCTAGAACTGCTAAAATGATGGGGCAAATGGAAATAGGAGGGGCAGCAAGCTCTCTCCTGGACTTGATAAGATAAAAAGAGATGGCAAGATACTAAAACTAAGAAAATGGTGTCAATCATCTGGCAACTGGGAAGGATACCCAGGACAGATGCCAACAAGGAGGGCAGAGGGAAAACCCCCAAATCCCAGGTGCTTGAGTCATCTGGCCACTGAATAGAAAACTTTGGGACTAACCTGGTTCTAATTATGTGTTTTGTTACTTGTAGCCCAAACCATCCTAACCCAGATAACAGTGAAGCTGAATTAAACAAAACCAAAAAGTAATCTTGTAAGATAACTAAAAATGACTATAGATATTTTATGTCAGGTTACAATTCCTTATGTTTGAGGAGTATGTCTTTAAATATCTTAATTGCTTTTTTTTACTTCAAATATCATCCCTTTGGAGATCCAAAAAGGTAAATTATTTTAAGAGTAACAGCAGCAGTGGGAAACACATAAAATAGTAAATTCACTTATAATCTTAATTAAAAGATGATGGGTGTGTTTTTACATGACAATGAAGATTTACAGATGTAAAAAAGCATTGTTCAGTTCAAAAAGCATGTATTTTATCTTTAAATCAGGCATTATGCTTAATCACAAGCTACTGCAGTTTTATATATGAGTTGTTAGAAAAGATATTTCATTTTTATGATGACCTACTTTCATAAAATCCTATATGAAGTCTAAATATATGGAGATGGATTAGACCATAATCATCTATAGTGATCATCTCCTCAGATCCCAGCTCCTCCATTCAACAGGGGACCTTTAAAAGAAAAATTTCCCCAGGGCGCTTAAATTTTAATTTCATTGATAAAAACTCAATTTACAATTCTCCCTAAGATACCTATAATACATGAAGTGAGTTATATTTCAACCATAATTTATGAGTAAATAACACTGTGCTCCTTTCAAAAATGTGAAAATTTTGTCTATATATGAAACACAATTTTTAAAAAGATGACTGCTAACTATTGAGCATACAAATAATGGCAAACATTTACCACCATGCTTACTAGGTGCTGGGTATTCCTACAATCAAGAACTAGTATTGTCACCACTTTCCAGATAGGAAAACTGAGACAGAGTGGTGAGGTAACTTGCCAACAATTAAGAGTTTGAAAACAGAATATGCATAAAGGCAATCTGACTCCAGACCCCATACGTACTTCATGAAACCCTACAATACTTCAGAAGAAAATAAAGTGGGTATAGGCAGTGTAAGTGCCTGACAATAAGCTTTCTTTATTGTAAGTGCATGACATTAAGCTTTGCATTGTCCAGGCATCCATTTCCAAGACATCCATCTGGAATAAACATCACCAGCTGCTTGACCCAGCTACTAGCCTAACAGCTAGGTAAGGAGCCAGGCCTCTCCCACCCATGAGGTTTTCCTTTTGGGGCAACCTGGATACCTGACTGGTTGAGTAACCCCATTTTTCCTTTCCATGCACTAATTCCATGCTTATGCTTTAAATTCACCAGTAGTGAACCCACAAACCCCAGGCACCCCACCCTTGCCCCTAAGAAAGGGAGAAGCCCAGTCTGCACACCCTCCCTCCCTCTCCCTGATGGCTGTTGCTGAGGTTCATCTTGCAACCATAATAAGAGCAACAAGGGCCAGACCAGCCACATTGGCTCCAGGTGAGGAAATGCCTTTGAGGTTGCCACTAGCAGAACATGCCCCATGAGTGCCTCCTAGCCAATAGCATCACTACCCATAGGCTGAGAACCAACAGGAAACTGTATATTATAGTTTTTCTTATAATCTTAAGTATGTAAACACTTATTTTTCAGTAGGTTAGGATATCTGGAAACCTTCATAAATATTGTATAAAGAAAAAAATTCTTCAGTACATAAAAATTAGAGGAACAAGCCATTATTCTGGCTAAGGGCTTCCTACACCTAAACTGGTCCATGAGACACAGGATGCTCTCCGTAACCACACGCTGGCAGACTCTTTGGAGTGATGAAACAAAACAGTACCACCACTTTCCCTAAGTCATCAAAGACATGGAGGAGGACTCAGTGTCTGCTACTTCTTTAGAGTTTTAAAAGTAGCAAAATTTTCATCTATTTTCCTTTAACTCAAGCTCTCCTTGTCTTCACCATCTCTGAACCTCCTCCTTCTAGCAACTGCATGGAAATTTTATTTACTTTATGTTGCTTTTATTTTTTCTTCTTGAGGGTTAAACATCCATAGACAATTGGAAAGGTAATTCTCACCCAAAACCTTCCTACTCATAGATTTGACACTCTTCTCCCATAATTACGCCTTGTTCACCTGAGAACACAGTGTTCAATCTCTGAGTCCAGCTTCACTGCCTGATATCTGGATATCCTTGACTCACCTTCCTCCTGCTAAAGTCAGGACTGTTATCTGCCAGGAGGATGAAATGAGATGATCCATATACTTGGTTGGGCAATATCTGGCACACAATAACCTACAATGCCCGCTATTTTTATTACTCAGAAAATCATTCTATAAGATTCTCTTGCTCTGGATTCAGGCATCACTGGTTTTACCCTCTATTTTTTCTTTTACCATTAATTTAAAATAGGTATTGAGATACTTTTGCATAAAACACCCTTTATAAAACATTTTTAGTGTTTCAGCTGCAATCATGTTGGAGTTTGATTATTTTCCCTGGTACCGCGATTGTTTTCCACCCATACTTCATATTCAATAGTCTGAACATCTATTCATTTTACTGTTCCTTATAAGCAAACCTGCCTATATATTTTCATTCCACTATGAATCCAGATTACATCTGCTACTAAATGAGATCCATTTTAGTTACCCTGTATGCTACCTTAATATTATTTGGTGTAGGCCTCAACTTTTTTTGGGGGGGGGGAATATATTCTTGAATCTGAAAGAAGAAAGAGCAACCTTCTATTCCAAGGCTACCTTTCTCATTCTTAGCTAAAAAAGTAAAATAACTAACTAAATAATAAAACTTCTAATCACATTCTTAACATACATGTCCCCCTAAAAACACATCCTAAATATCTTTGTACAATTCACAAAAAAATTCTCTGAATATTTTATTCAACAGAAATTAAAGTAACAACCTTCACAGTAGAATCTAGGAGACACGCTGTGAAATTGCTCTGGTTTCATTTATCAGTCTCATGATACTATTAAAAAATAAAACAAAATTGAAATAACCAGCAACACTTTCCAAACAGTAGGCTGTTTCCTGTCATCTCCATTAAAAAATATCAAGAAATGATATCTCTTCATCAGTTTTAATAGTCATATCTGTGAAGCGAAGGACAGTGTATCAATAATTGACTTGTGGGAAAAGAGAAAACATGAAATATCAGAGCAGCGTGCCTGCCATCTGCGACGCTCGGCTCCTGCTCCCATCACTAGCGAGTGTGCTCATGGGCAGCTTCTGCAGTCAGTGCCATATCCGACAGGTATTATCCTTGCTGCCTATGAAGACACATTTCACAAGGTTATTTTTTCTTTATTTCACTCCCTTCACCCTCTTTTTTTACAAGTTGACATTTTCTGGGTCACTATCAATTATCAATGAGCTAAATGTACAAGTACCTCAGGGCCCAGCTGCCAAGTCCCTGAGATGCTCAGCTCAGGTGTTTCTGGACTGGGAATTTTTTTCTTTTTCTTTCTTTTCTTTAATTTTGCATGATTCTGTCAGTCCTAAATCGTGCAAGTTCACGTCCTACTCACAGCAGCAAATTCATGGTATGTTAAACTTGGAGGGGACCTGAGATGTCAGCCATCTCCTCTGCTCTTCCCACTGCTCTCCCTCAAGCATCGCCACCAGGTAGAATTGCAGTGAACTTGAACATCCCCGGGTTTGGGTGTCAGCGTGTAAGACAGTACATTCCACTTTAGTGCAGATCAAAATGTCAACAGGTGTTTCTCACCATCAGTCAACATGTGAACTTTGCATCCTTCCTACACTCCCCTCTATGACAACACTCTTCCGAAGTGGCCTTGAAGTCCCCCTCCCCGAGGGTCGCCTTTCACATTCCTCTATGGAAAGGACCGTCTTGGCGTGGCTTCCTTCCAAGGCCAGGCATATAACATCAGCACAAGAAGTGTGGGGCTGCATGGATTGGGAAAGCCTGCGGACACTGCACGTTCCACCAAAAGCACCCTATGTCCTCAAAATGCAGTGACCACGCTGGCCAATTCCCTTCCAGTTTGTGCTTCTAAACCTACCAGGCATTCCATTAAAAATGCATGGTGGACACTGGGCTCAGCCATGAAAATAGGGGGCGGCAATTCAAACATAGTGGGCTGTGGGCAAGACAAGCGTGTCACCCCCGTTCTCACAAGCTCTGCTGTCCAGTTGGCTTTGGGATGCACTAAATAAATCAAGAATATATTTAAAGAAGCTCAGGAATCTAAACGCCAGTGCTAAAAGAAGGCACAGACAATGAATGTTCCTCCCCACGCTCTCCAGGGTCTTTGGGAAAACTGGTGAGGAATGAGGTATGCGGTGCTGGCCTCACATGAAGCACGTGGATTAGGAAAGGCGTGTCCTCTGCCAAGCCAGCCGAGCCTCCTCCTTCCCTTCCTGCCAGCAGGTCCCTGCAGAGCACCCTGTGCCTGGCATCACAGCCCCCACCTCTGTCCTTGTCCTGGGGAAGGGCCTGACTTGCGGTTCACAATAAAATACATGGCTTCTCATGGCCCTGTCTTAGGAGTAGCTACCTGTTAGTTACACTTGAAAACCATAAAACCCACAGGAAGTAATCAGTAATTTTAGGACTTATCCATAATTAAGTAGAAGGGGGAGGTTTTAGGCCAGAAGGGGAGATTATTTGCAGCATACCTGAAGTTACATGACTACGAAGCAGCCAATATACAAAGCCAACCTTGCGTATGTGACATTGAACTTATTAGACAGTTAAGCAAGTCTTAAATTTACTCAACATTGTGGGAATCACTGGGAGTTAGGCCTATTGGGTCTTAGTGCCTGCTTAGGGCATCCCTGCCCCACACTGTTGTAGCACCCACCCCTGCCAACCCTCCTCCCGGGGCACCACCCTGACATCGGACCAAATTCTTGTCATTTTCCTCTCCTTCCTGCAATCAAAATTAATTTATTCTCAAAACAATTCTTACAAAATGTTGCCAATATAAATAATTCACGATAAATTTGGTAATGGTTGAACAGTGCTCAAAACCTGTTTTCTTCCCCCAAATATATGTATGTTAGCAGGGAACATCAAGGAAAAAACAACTTAGCTCAAAGAATAAATTTCTAATGAGCCAAAACCTGACTGTGGAGAACCCTGGTCCTGACTTATTTTAGTTACTAACACCTAACTGACATCGACTGGAAATTAACCATGCAGTGACCATGCCTGGGGAATGCAGAAACCAGCAAGGCAGGCTCAGAATTCTTACTCTGCCTAAAGCAACTAAAATTCAAAGTCACAGAGCCTTACAGTTGGTGACAGAGCTCATTCCTGCGGTTCCCTGATGCAACTAAAAGTAAATAATGAATATAGAGCACCCCTATCCCCCATGCTGAGCCAGGGACCCCAGAAGAGAGGTAGGGGATGAAGGTGAACTCATTTTGGTATTCAACTTAGGATCTCTCCAAGCCCATTTTAAACGAAACACAAGTCTGTGGTGTTTGTTTCTCCCCACCTGTGATGATTATGTTGCCTTTATAGTTGAAAGCACATGAGAAGATTTCATCCGTGTGCCCCCGGAGCACCTGGAGGCATTGGCCAGTCTGAGCATCCCAGATTCTCGCTGTTTTGTCAGAGCTTCCTGTTAGAAGATGGTTCCCTTGGGGGTTGAAAGAAATCTACAAAAGAGAAAGAAAAAACCATGACAGATTTGTGTAAAGATTCCCAACAAATTTAATCAGCAAAAAGGGGACATCACTAAGCACCTGTCACCTTCCCAGCCTGTTAGTTATTCTTACACAGAACAGTTCCTTCATGATGGGAAAAAATATTGCAGGGACAAATACATGCAAATTAAAATCTAGACAGAAATGTTAATTGCATACCCCCCACACACATACACACACACAATTCTAAGGACAAAGACCAAAGCACCTTTATAGTTTGAATATTCCCCACCCACTTCTTTCAAAAGACTGGTGATGCCTTCTCCATGCAAACAAAGACACAGGGCCCTGCTGTGGGTGAGAACCCGTCAGGCTCCTTTATACCCAAACCTCTAAGCTGCCTCTGCAACCCAACTTTCTGGGGTCAAAAGCACACAGTCTGTCACAGAATAAGCAAATATCAGGGCCTGCAAGAGAGGACGTTCTGACTATTGCTACTCAAAGTGCAGCACTTTCCATAAACACGTTCTAAGTGTCTCCCATGTGCCAGGCATCATCTAATGGTACCTGAGCAGCAGTCAAAGAGAACTGTTGGTCTTCCATTCCTTTTGGTACCATGTTCATAACCTTCTCTAAATCATCAGAAGGCAATGATTGGTGCCACCTCCTCCATGACTGAAGGTGTGATAAAGGCAAAGCCATGTCTTGTTTTCATCACTGTGTCACCAATGCAGAGAGCAATGCCTAGCACAGCGGAAGCTCTCAAAAAGCATTTGCTGAATGAATGAATGAATGAATGAATGAATATGACCTTAGTTTGATACTCCATAGAAATGCCCTTACTGGGTGGCAATTCAAGAAGCAATATATCACTTAAGTATAAAATGCAACAATGTAGAATCTTAGAACTCTTTATAGTCAGACTCAGGCAAAAATAGATGTGCAATTATTGAGTGGGAAATGCCAACCATGTCAATAGCTATCAAGCCAGACATTCAGAAATATGACCCAGCTCTCTCCTCAGCCTATCTCCCATGTCCACACTTGCCCTATCCCTCTTCTTGCCAGCCCCTAAAGCTTCCCAGCCTGTGAAGAGAATGTGCTCTGCACTTCCTTGGAGACCAGGCCTGCTAGGCTCACAATGACCACCAGCAGAAGGTGAGGGTGCAGGAGGGGAGAGAGCATGGTAGGGGTGGTTCTGGTGTCCAGGTGGAGCCTTCAGAGACTAGAAACCATCAAGCTGATATTTTACAAGGAAGGAGCAAATCTGACCTGAGATCAAGGAATTGGGCTAGGAGGTGAGAGTCACCAAGTCCCAGCTTTCTCTAGAAATATTGGAGGACACATCTAAACCTCAGATCACAGACTGGATGGCCCTTGCTCTGTGAATAAGCTTTTGGGAGAAGTTAATACAAAATTCTTAGCTACAACCTTGGAGTTTCAACATAGGTCATTTTAAACTTTGTTGAGTTAAATATTTCCATGAAATACTTCCTCAACTGCACCTAATTTACAGAATACTTGATACTTTCTTTGTACAATATAACCTTGTGTGTCTAGCAGAACCAGGAAAATCACTTCATAAGCTTCATAAATAACTTTAATAAGTATTTTCATCTAGCTAAATCTTTTGCTGATGGCTGAGAAAAACACTTTTATAGTTTATGAAAAGTTTTAGAAATAATTTATTACACTGAGTTTGAGGACACACTTAAAAATAATGTCCTTAGGTACCTAATTTCTAAAAAGAATGAGATCATTGGACAAACCTTAGTAGCTTAGTGCCAATACTTACACTAAACATGCTATTTTTTTAAGTAAATAAATTGTTCCAAATGAGAAAGCAACTCACCTTTGAAATCTCACCTTCATGACCTTCCAATTTAGTAATGCATTTTCTGGTGGCTGCACTGAAAACTCTTGCTGTTCCTTTTTGAGAGGAGTGGGGATACATACATAAATTCACCTGAAATACAGAACTTTGAACCACATACCTTGAATTATCTAACCATTTATCACTCTGACAAACAGCTGCCTGCTAGGTTTGTCTTCTGTGATGAAAGCCAGCCACTCAAATGCAAGCTGGTCCCACTGTGGGTAAGAGAGTGTGAGGAGTGCCTCGCTAGGCCTGAGCTTATCACAAGAGATAATGGGTTCCAAGGTAGAAAAGGCAAAGAGGCAACAACTCAGAATGGAAAAAAAATATTTTAAAGGGAGAAAGAGGGAATGAAAACAAGTCTTGAGAGGCCAGGGATGAAATAAGCAGAAAGCCTACTATCATATATCAAATATGAGTCTAAGGTCACAGAAGGCACGAGCAGCCACTCTAAGAAGCAACAGTGGCTGCCACTCAATGAACAAAGAACAGGCACTAGAAACCCTTTTCAACAGAAAGAGCTAACAGAATGGTTTGCTCCCTGTTGTGTCCCCAGTGCCTCAAAGTGCCACTCAATAAATAGATGCAGTGTAGATGGATGAATGGATGGATGAATGGATGAATAGAAGAAAAAGTATGTTTTTTTAGAATTAAAAAGTGGAGGAGCAAAATAAGCAAAGAAGAGAAAAAATTAGCAGTAATGCAATTGTTGTCAGGAAAAAAGCTAACATTTGTCAGGCCAGGAGAAGGATACTTTCTTGTTGCAAATTACAGCATTACATAGAGTAAAATTAGCAAGAATAGAGTGTTTTGGACACAATTTTCATTCAGAAAAGAGCAAAATGTCTTAATTTTTATTTACCTTTCTGACAATGTCAACTCAGAAGGAAGTAGACAAAATGATGAAAAATTGCTATTTTAGAATTAATATAATCTAAAATAATAAAAGCGTAATATGCTAATTAGACCAAACAGCTGAACGAACTTCCAGGCGTCATTCTGGATGTCCTTCTGGATGAAGCCACGGTGGCAGGACTGAGACAGAGGTGGTTAGGGGCGATCAGGCAGGCAGGTGAGCAGTTAGGGGCAATCAGGCAGGCATGCAGAGTGGTTAGGGGTGATCAGGCAGGCAGGCAGAGTGGTTAGGAGCCAGTGGTCCCAGATTGTGAGAGGGATGTCTGACTGCCGGTTTAGGCCTGATCCTGCCTAAACCGGCAATCAGACATCCCCCAAGGGGTCCAGGATTGCAAGGGGGTGCAGGCCAGGCTGAGAGACACCGCCCCCCACCCCGTGCATGGATTTTGTGCACCGGGCCTCTAGTCCTATATAATAAAAGCCTAATATGCTAAGTGTCCTGTCGACCAGTTGACTGTTCGACCAGATTCACACTGACCACCAGGGGGCAGATACTTCTATCACTAGGTTAGCTTGCTGCTGGGGTCCGGCCGATTGGGACTGGGCAAGATGAGCCAGACACACCCTGGAGCCCTCCCTCAGTCCCTCCCCAGCCAGCCAACCTCCTGCAGTCCCTCCCCGGTTGGCCGGCCCCGATCAGCCCTGATCATGCACCGGTGGGGTCCCTCAGCCTGGCCTGTGCCCTCTCGCAGTTCGGGACCCATCAGGGGATGTCAGAGAGCTGGTTTTGGCCCAATCCTCACAGGCCAGGCCAAGGGACCCCACTGGTGCATGAATCCATGCATTGGGCCTCTAGTTAAAATATAAAACTTGCTCCTTAGTGGGACATTTCAAATGCCTTAAAGGAAAGTGGCCAACTTGTTTTAAGAGTTTATTAATAATACAAAAAGAAATATACTACATAGTGCAATACTCTAAATTAGCACAAAAGCATTTTTAATCTTCAGAAAACACAGAACTAAGATAGTCTGAAACCTTAATTTTTTTAAAAAAAAAAAGATGGAAATATGAATAAGATAAAAAAATTAAGCCTTCAGCATAATTTCAAAGAAGAAGGAAAGGATAATAGATAGGAACAGATATAGCTGCCCAGGTAACTCATTGTGTTGACAGATACAATTTTAAGAAGGAAATAAGGAGCAAAGACCAGAGATAAATAAAGAAATTGGTCTAAACATCAATACTTTTCAAGAAGCACAAATGAAAAGAGGTTTACAAAACACACCAAAAGAAAAATAAATAAGTAATGTCTTATCAAACAAGAATGGAATCACTGCTAGGGAAAAGAGCAGATCATAGAAAAAACAAAACTGGAAGAATCAAACTTGTATTTTATTCTCATCCATCCTGATCCCTTAGCCCTGCTTGTTTCCTGCCCCCCATAGCACTGACCAACTCCTAACATCCTGTACAATCTAACATCCTTTTTAATCTAACATTCCACATAAAACGTATGTATGGCATTGGTAATTGTCTCCTCCTCCATGAGTGCAGGCATTTCTGTCTCTCTTTTTCACTGATGATACCCTTTTTTCCTAAAACATAGGTATTCCTGGCACAAAGTAGGCCATATATATATATATATATATATATATATATATATACACACACATTATATTGAAGAAATTTTTTTAAAATATATTTTATTGATTTTTTTTACAGAGAGGAAGGGAGAGAGATAGAGAGTTGGAAACATCGATGAGAGAGAAACATCGATCAGCTGCCTCCTGCACATCTCCTACTGGGGATGTGCCCACAACCCAGGTACATGCCCTTGACCGGAATCGAACCCGGGACCTTTCAGTCCGCAGGCCGACGCTCTATCCACTGAGCCAAACCGGTTTCGGCAAAAAGAAGAAATTTTTTGTATAAATATAAATGATATTTAAAATGAAAGGGCAGATTAATTACAGTTGAGAGATGATTTTTAAAAGCCAAGATCTGTGAGAAAATGAAAAAATAGTTACTTTAAAAAATAAAATTGTCCAGATTCAGAGGGTTTACATTCCAGGATATAAAAACAACTTGTATGTATAGTCAAAGAATTACCTTTGAAAAGCCCCAGTAAGAGAACAAGTATGCAAATGTAATTTTAAAAGGGAGACAATGATGAAATAAAAACTGGGTAGTTAAAATGAATCACCAGCAAAATAATATAATGGCATATGTGATCAACAGGGAAATGACATAGATGTTTTATAGTGTCATATGTGGTCTTCGTGAAGTTGAGGCACATCGTGTAGCACCAGCCTATGTTTATCAATAAGAAACACAGACATAGTATAGAATCATAGTGGTTCTCATGAACATGATGTATAGCAGAGCATTATATATGTTTATCACGAAGATTTGCTAGACATAGTGGAGCAGCACATGTGGTCATAAAGGAAATAATGCAGATTTATTGTAGAACCATGGATGGTGGTCAAGTTGCTGAGGTTGACATTGTGTAGCATAGTGCATGGACATCAGGGAGATGACCCAGAATGTACCATTATATATCATTATTAAGGAGATGATGAAGACCTAGTATAAAATCATAAGTGGTTGTCAAGGAGGTGATGCAGACATTGCATAGCATTACATGTGGTTATCAAGGATATGATACAGGCATGTAGTAATATACAATGACATCATAGGGATGAAGCAGAATACAGTTTCTATCATAGCTGGTCATCAGGGGGATGACCTACAGTGTAGAATCACTCTTATTTATCAAATAAAGCATAAGTCCCTCCACAAGTTAAATGTATGAACAGATGACCTACCATCAGCTGAAGCAGTTGCAATAAGCTTTCCAGTGTAATCAAAACAGCAGTCAAGTATTTCATCATCATGGCCTGTTAATGTTGCTATACATTTTCCACTTGTAGCATCCCACAACTGCAATTAGGAGGAGAAGAAGGAGAAAGAGGAGGAGGAGGAGGAAGAGGAGGAAGAGGAGGAGGAGGAGGAGGAGGAAGAGGAGGAAGAGGAGGAGGAAGAGGAGGAATAGGAGGAGGGGGAGGAGGAAGAGAAGGAGAAGGAGGAGGGGGAGGGGGAGGAGGAGGAGGAGGAGAAGGAGAAGAAGGAGGAGGAGGAGGAGGAGGAGGAGGAAGAGGAGAAGGAGAAGGAGAAGGAGAAGGAGGAGAAGGAGAAGGAGGAGAAGGAGGAGGAGGAGGAGGAGGAGGAGGAGGATGATGAGAAGAAGAGGAGAAGGAGAAGGAGAAGGAGAA